AAAAAGAGACTTAAGGTAGGAAGGCTCATCGCTGTACTAGTTCCGGTAAGAGGATGATAACAACGTGTATTAATGGGGATTAAATTATTTTTTTAATCTTCAAAAGATTTTAAAATTGTAGAAAAAGGATGAACAGAATTTGGTTATCTATAATAAATAAAAGCATAATATGCTAATAGACCGGACGTCCTTCTGGATGAAGCTGGGGCTGTGAGGGAAACCCAGGTCCCAGATGCCAGAGAAGTGGTGCCGGCAACAGGGGGAAGGCAGGCCTACTCTTGCAGGAATTTCGTGCATCGGGCCTCTAGTTAGACATAAGAGGGGAGGGCAGAGTCAAAGATGACCAAGGTCTTTAGCGATGCGTTAACAGATAAGAAAGTAGAGGGGAGGAAGGAGTAGGGAAGAAAGTGAGGGTATTTATTTGAAAGAAAACAGCCTGGGCACCCTCCCTCCAGGGAGCACACACACCCTGAACCTTTCCTTTCCCTCTCCATTTCCCTTTCCCTTCCACCTCCTTCTCCCCCAGGAAAAACAACAACAAAACCAGCCCAGGATAGGCTCTGAAGGGGGCAGCCAGTTTCTAAGCTCTTGGTGGTGAGAATCTGAATTCCTAAATGTGTTTCTCAAACAAAGCCCCCCCAAAAAGTTTAGCATTCCTTAAGCCATGTGTGGCCCTCTAGGAGACAAAGACATTCACTCCCATTTTACAGATGAAAGAAAGAAAAGTCAAGAATCATGACTTATGTTGTACCAAAGTGCATTAAAGAAAATAAAAATATACAGGCCACTTAGCCATATACTTTCTTTCTTTTCTTTAAAAAAAAAAAAAAAAAAAAAAAAAAAAAAAAAAAAAAAAAAAAAAAAAAAAACAGAAACCTGGCCCAGAGCCTTTTTAAAAAATATATATATTTTATTGATTTTTTTTACAGAGAGGGAGAGTTAGAAACACCGATGAGAGAGAATCATCGACCAGCTGCCTCTTGCACACCCCCTACTGAGGATGTGCCTGCAACCAAGGTATATGCCCTTGACCAGAATCGAACCAGGGACCTTTCAATCCGCAGGCTGACACTCTATCCACTGAGCCAAACCCGTCTCTGCTAGCCATTTACTTTCAACTTCTCATCATTCATACTTGCTAGCTTCAGTTCACATAGGCATCCCTGGGAAAGCCTACAAATCGGTATATTTCAAGCAGCAAAGAAAGCATGCAAGTCAGCCAGCCTCTCTGTTCCAACACTGTCTTCCCTCTAATTAATATTGATGCCTCCCTCTTCCTGTACCTTCGTCCCTGAGGGTTTTTTCTGTGCAAAGCTCCACTTCTAAATAAACATTTGTGGGTCACTTCACTTTGCTCTAGACTTCTACTGTAGAATTCCAAAACAAACCGCTTTCTGAAGGAAGTCTTCAGGGGGTTCTCCAGTTCTACAAACAAACAAGGTTGAACAGGACAAAAGGGAAAATGGAGAAGGGAACAACAAAAGGAGGAAGAAAAGTGAACACCGTTGTTTTTGTTTTGTTTTGTTTAAAGAAACAAAGAGATTCAAATTAATTTGCTTAGCTGCCTGCAGAGCTTGCCCCAAAGGTGGAGAGGACAGGCCGTATTCCTGCTGTGGGATAAACATCTAGGAAAATTAATTCATTTTCCCCATGGTAAAAGGATGTTGGTCACACAGACTTTACTTATTGAGAGACAGACAGACACACACACACACCCAGGACCTATTTTCCAACATTCGCTCTGGCTTCTACCCTGACGATCTAGGTTACCCTTTATGCTGCCCTGAGATATAAATAGCATCCATTTCCTTTCTCAGGCCTGGCCGACTGTAAGCTTTGTTTCCTGGGTCCAGGGGAAAAAAATACTCATGGCACATCTCATTCTAAATGTGAGAATTAGAATTTACTACAAAGCTGCCTCACTTTGAATCAACCACGGGGGGCGGGGGTGGAGGGGGAACCACTTCAAAAGGCTGAAATTTGTTATTACCATTTTGATAAATTGGTCCAGAATTGCCACAGTGGGACTTCTGAGTAGCTGTTTCCTTTCCGGTGCCTAGCTCAGAATCCTCCAGAACACAGGTCTTCGCGTGAGTCCAGGATAAAGTGCAGGTGAATATTTTACAAAATGTAGTGGATGTCCTAAGCTTTATACGGGATTCCCCAAGAGGATCTCTGGATGAGAGCACTTCATTCGCTAGACAGACATAAGGAGGCATGTCTCCTGAATTTGAAGACATGGACTCCAATCTAAAACTAGTTGCATTTCATTTTCTTACAACAGTCCCTACCACCTGGATTCAAGCAGAGACCAATCAAAGAAAAGAAGAGCAGCAGCAGTGAGATCTTTCCTTTCTCTGCCAAGGCAAAGGTGAAGAGTAAAGATCAGATTCACCTCTCAGGTGCTCTCACTCTTGGCTCACCCTACAAAGACCACTTCTCTGTCACTGTCATCTCCTCAGGGAGCCCTGTTTCTCCTGACAGATAGCATTAAAAGAATGTGTTTTTTTTGTTTGTTTGTTTGTTTGTTTTTTAATTTCAGAGAGGAAGGAAGAGGGAGAGAGACATAAACATCAATGACAAGAGAGAATCGTTGATCAACTATCTCCTGAATGCCCCCTACTGGGGATTGAGCCCACAACCCAGGCATGTGCCCTAATTGGAATTAAACCATGATCTCCTGGTTCAACCTCTTGAGCCACACCAGCCGGGCCAAAGCGCATTTTTTTAAAAAAAATATATTTTATTGATTTTTTTACAGAGAAGAAAAGAGAGAGAGAGAGAGCTAGAAATGTCGATCAGAGAGAAACATCAACCGGCTGCCTCCTGCACACCCCCCACCGGGGATATGCCTGAAACCAAGGTACATGCCCTTGACTGGAATCAAACCCGGGACCTTTTAGTCCGCAGACCGACGCTCTACCACTGAGCCAAACCAGTTTCGGCTCAAAGAGCATTTTTAAGCAGCCTTGGGCTGGTTCCCCAGGCTATTGGGAAGTCGATATTTTGAGCAAATGCATATAGGAAGTACCAAATCCTCTGTTTCCCTTGGGGCCATCCAGGCTGGGGTCCAAAGGGTTCCTTCCACCTGTTTTAGGTGTGACTCTCCTCCGAGGTCAGAACATGTCTGCAAACACAGTTGACTCAAACAGAACTGGATGTTTGGCACTATTACTTCCCAATTTTAACATGAGCAACTAGAAATTACTAAAATAAACCCCTTCCCTGTAGGTATTATGATGGGAACTAATAATTTCAAACCAAAAGTAAAACCAAAACGTTGACAAAAATTCCTCACCAGTGTGTAGCTAGTTTGTGGTTTTGTTTTTGTTTTTTAAGGAATGAAAAGATGCTGACATCCCTGCATCCTTTATCACCCAGCACAGATAACTGGCTTCAGAGCTGTGCTGACTTCTCACAGATGACCTCTTTCTCTCTACTTAGGGAGTGAAACACTCCCAACAAGCCTGGTTCTGGTGTGCCAAGAAGACAGAACCCACCTCTTCCTGTTGCCATTGGGCCTGTTTTCCACAGGCTGGATTCTGGCAGCCTCTCTCGAGGAGCTACGAATGGGATATGTTCTTAATCTTAAGGGGTCCCAGAGCCATAGCCCAGGATGTCATGGAAACTGAAGCAATAGCCTGTCTCAAGATCAGCACACGTTATCAGGGCTCACCCCATGAACGATGCCAGCTATCAGCACCATCAGATGCTTTGACCACGTCTTGTGGTGGCTGCAATGAAGGAAAAGCATAAGCACTGAGGAAGTCCTCTGCCTGCCTCGTTTCCTCTCATTTTCTAAATTATGCAACATGCTATCGCCCCCCCAACGCCCCCCGCTGGTCACAGTTTCCAGCCTTGTGAGAGTCACAGTGAAGTGCTGGCCCACACTTGACACAGCTACTTGAGACTCTTTATCTCCAGCAAATGGCTGAGAAAAGTGGTCATGCCAAAGCTCGAACGTAACAGGAGCCACATGGGCATGCCCAGGACAAAGAAAAAAAGAAAAAAAAAAAAAAAAACCACCAGGGCGCCCTTGAAACACGTAGGAGCTGGACAGAAAATACAGGTGCGCAGGTCCTCCCTAAGCACAGACTGACCCACATTGCAGCCGCGGGCTGCGTGCTCTCCAAAAGGCAACCAACCTTCGGCTCAACAATTGGCCTTTTGTGCTGCACAAGGGTTGGGTGGGGAAAAAAATCTAGTCCCTTTCCCCTGGAACCTCATCCGGGTCTCCTTTCCCAGGGTGGACAGGGCTCTCCTGGACTCCGGCTCTGCGCACAGCCCAATCCATAACGGAGCTGGGGACCGACCAGGGAGCCAGAGGGCCCCAGTGTGCACCCCATCCCTCACCCAAAGGGAGGTTCCGTCGGGTCGCCTGCTCCCCGGCACAAGCCAATCTCGGAAAGTCAGAACGGAACTGGCTGAAGGGGAGGATGTCCTCAGGCTCAGAGAGGGGCAGCGACTGGCCCCAGATCACACAGCGAGTCAGAAACAGAGTTTTACTACACAACCCCAGCCTCGGGGTTCCAGAATATATCCCACGGCCATCCGCCTACCCACGCCACGCCCGAATAAAAATAATTAACATCCGCCGAACCGGTTTGGCTCAGTGCCTAGGGCGTCTGCCTGCGGACTGGAAGGTCCCGGGTTCGATTCCGGTCAAGGGCATGTGCCTTGGTTGCGGGCACATCCCCGGTGGGGGGTGTGCAGGAGGCAGCTGGTCGATGTGTCTCTCTCATCGATGTTTCTAACTCTCTATCCCTCCCCCCTCCTCTCTGTAAAAATCAGTAAAATATTTTAAAAAGTAATAATCATTAACATCCACTCTCAGAACTTCAGCCCCATCGTCCCCACCTCCGCGGGGCTTAGAACCTCGGTCTTGACGGTGGCGTGTGTCTCCACCCGCCAAGCCGCAGGTCCTGCCCACCTGCGGGCCGGCCCCGCCGCCGCTCCCGGCCCAGAGCCCCCGCCGGCTGCCCGCCGCCCGCCCGCCGAACCTGAAGAGTCGCGGTCCCGAGCACCCGCAGCGGCGGACATCTCCCTGCAGCTTCCTCAAGCTCTTCATCTCGCCGCCCGCCCGCCCCACCCCGCCTGGGCTGCCCCGGGGGGCCCGCCCCTGCATGCCGCCTCCGCCAATAGGAAGCCGTTCATCTCCATAACCACGCCCCCTACAGAGAATAGAGCCCGCCCTTGCAGCCAGGCCTCCTCCAATCGCAACCGCCCCTTCCCGGATGGATACCTGCCTCCGCCAATTCCGGCGCACGCAGGCCAGGTGCCTGGGGCCGAGTTCCAGCCGAGCCGCGAGGGTTCCGTGCACCTGTGTCGAGACAGCCACTGGAACTCTGGATCCCGGGTCGCAGGGTCCAAGCCTGAGGCAGGAAGAAGGAGGAAATACTGAGCCACGGGCTTGATAGGGCAGGCTTCCCCTCTGCATGACCCTGAGCCAATCGCTCAAGCTCTTCGAAAAGTCTCCAAGCCTGTGTTTCCCTGTTTTCCTTCACGCACAAAGTGGGTCCTAAATTCAAATGCAGTAATAACTGTGCAACCACTGCTGGTGGGAATGCAGACCGGTGCAGCCACTGTGGAGAACAGTATGGAGTTTCCTCAAAAAATGAAAATGGAACTCCCATTTGACCCAGTAATCCCACTCCTAGGAATATATCCTAAGAAACTGGAAACACCAATCAGAAAGGATATATGCTCCCCTATGTTCATAGCAGCACAATTTACAATAGCTAGGATTTGGAAACAGCCTAGGTGCCTGTCAGCAGATGACTGGATCAGAAAACTATAGTACATTTACACAATGGAATACTATGCTGCCATAATAAAGAAGGAATTCTTACCATTTGCAGCAACCTGAATGGAACTGGAGAACATTATACAAAGTGATATAAGCCAATCAATGAAAGAAAAACACCACATGATCTCACTTATTTGTGGATAATAAAGAACATTATAAACTGATGAACAAAAAAATAGACACAGTGGCAGTAAAGCATCAAACAGACTGTCAAATCACAGCGGGAAGGTTAGGGAGAGGTGGGGAAGATAAGAGATCGATGGAAGAACTTATATGCATGCATATAAGAATAACCAACGTATGCAAAACACTGGGGGGTGAGGGCATGTAAAGGAATGGGGGGGGGGGCCAATGGTAAGTATGTACACATATAATACCTTAATTTTAAAAAATGGAAAAAAAATAACTGTGCAACCAAAAGGTAGACCCGTGCCATTCCCCCAATCTCGTGGTAATTGTGTGCCAAGGCCTATGCTTCACAGGTATCCTTAATCCTCACAACAAACTTTAGCAGGTAGGGAACCATTAACCAATAGCAACTGAGCTCAGAGGGGTGAAGTCTGAGGTCACAGAGTGAGAGGCAGAGTTGGGGACTCAAATGTCAGTACTAGAGAGTGAGTAGAATGTTTTAACTACTCATAATCTCCATCAGCAACTCGAAAGCCACTCCAAATAAACACACTCTAAAAGCAGTGTGCTTGCTATGAAATACTCCTTCCAGACAAGTCCTCTGGTTCCCCCTTAACCAGATTGCCGTCCGACCTTCTTAGAAATTCTTGAGTCTCCTCTGCCTGTCACTCAAACTCAGATCTGTCTAGCTTCCAAACACTTGCTGTTACTTTCTACGCTACCCTGCCTGCTTCCCTTGTAGAAATTCATGAACCTGACCAACCTGAAACGAATTTCCAATGGCAACAGAAATGAGGAGATTTTGGTCCCGGTCCTGATGACGACAGCACTGCTAGGCACAGCTTTTAAATTATTTTCAGGATTTGCATGCTATTAACCTATTTCGGGCCTCATCTGCTCCTCATAAAAATCTTTTTTTTTCTTCTCATAAAACTCTTAGTAAGGCAAGTTCATGTCTCAATTATAGAAATAATAAAGCCAAGGCCACGTAATCAAATCTATTATTCACATTCACAACTAGGAAGTGGCAGAGCTGGGATATGAACTGAAATCTCTGGTCTCCGTGGGCTTTGATGTTAGAACCTGGGGTTCCAAGTCCTATGACTTTGGGTAAGTTACTTACCTTCTCCATGTCAGTCAACACATCTATATAACAGAATATCTGCTCTTCAGGTCTGCTCAAAGACTGAACAGGAGGAAGTGTTGTTGTCTAGATGTCTAGAAGAATGTCTGGCCCGTAGGTGCTCAATTAATGGTAGCTAATTCTTTTCTCTGTCATCTAGTGACCAAGGCACTTGCACTCCCTGGCTTTTTGTGCTACAAAAAGGACTTTTATCTATAACCTTATTCTGGACTTCAGCCTCTTTATCTGTAAAATGCCAAGAATTATGCTGTTGGATATCCAAGAGCCTGTCAGCTCTGAGAGTCCCATCTCACTCAGGCCCCCTCTGACAGCTGCTCAATGAAACCAAGTCAGTATAGTTTCCCTGTTGATTACCCCAGATGTGGAACCCAGAAGGGAAAGCAGGTAAAGGGATTGACAGACAGACACTTGAGCTTAAAAGAGGAAGTCATCCCCAACTTCTCTCCTTCATTCTCACAGCCGGGTACCAAGCTCTGTTTGTCCATTTAACACATTTATTAAGTGCCAGCCACTGTTCTAAGCACTGGGGCTAAAGTTATGAACATTTTGTGAACACCCAAACTCATTGCCTCTATGGTGCCTTCATTCTCATCTGTATGATCTCTCCAGTCTATGCTCTCTTCCCCATCATCATTACCAGAACCTTATCCAAGCCTCATATTTATTTATTTTTTAAAATATATTTTATTGATTTTTTCACAGAGAGGAAGGGAGAAGGATAGAGAGCTAGAAACATCGATGAGAGAGAAACATCGACCAGCTGCCTCCTGCACACCCCCCACCAAGGATGTGCCCACAACCAATGTACATGTCCTTGACCGGAATCGAACCTGGAACTTTTTAGTCCACAGGCCGACACTCTATCCACTGAGCCAAACCGGTCTTGGCCATATTTACGTATTTATTTTTTAATATATTTTATTGTGTTTTTTTTGTTTGTTTTTTTGCAGAGAGGAAGAGAGAGGGATAGATAGTTAGAAACATTGATCAGCTGCCTCTTACACACCCCCTACTGGATACCAAGTACATGCCCTTCACAGGAATTGAACCTGGGACCCCTCAGTCCGAAGGACAATGTTCTATCCACTGAGCCAAACCGGTTTCAGCAAGCCTCATATTTCTAATGCCTGAGCACTGCAACACATTCTCATTGCTCTCCCTGCTTTAGGCTCTCCCCTTCCGCACCAGCTGCCAGAGAAACTTGTCTTACATGCAAATTCATGTAAGACATGTCATTCCAAGGGTTAAAACTCCTGTAGCTCCCAACAAGCTATCGGGCTGGTTATTTATGACCCTTCATGAGCTGCCTCTCCTGGCTTCTCTTAACCTAGCTCTTTCCACACCCTCCTTTCACCAAATGACCTGCTCTTCCCTCCAACTGCCTCTCCTTGTTGCCTTCCTGGGAAAAACTCGTTCAAGCTTGAAATTTCAGCTTAAACATCACCTCCTACACAAAGCCTTCTCTGGGTTGTGTATATGGTACAGGGCGGCATGAGCTTAGGAAGCATGAGAGCAAAACTCACGAGCTCAGATTTTGGAAGAGACTATTTAATCCTGGCTCTGTAGTTTACCAGCAAGGCACTGACCCTCTCTGAAGCTCAGTTTCTTCATTCGTAAAACGGAGACACTGATAATAACCTTGTAAAGTGGTACTAAAGAAAATGAGATAATGTACGAAAAGTTCTTTTTTTTTCCCCCCAAATATATTTTATTGATTTTGTACAGAGAGGAAGAGAGAGAGATAGTCAGAAACATCGATGAGAGAGAGCCTCTTGCACACCCCCTACTGGGGATATGCCCGCAACCAAGGTACATGCCCTTGACCCGAATCGAACCCAGGACCTTTCAGTCCCCAAGCCGAAGCTCTATCCATTGAGCCAAACCGGTTTCGGCAGTTCTTAGAGCAGTGTCTAACACACAAGTCAACAATGAAGATATTCTTTATATACAGAAGTCTACAAAACCAAGGTTCAAAGTCACACAGCTAGGGACGAGCAAAGATAGGTTTCAAATGCAAGACACTGTGTAGCTTCAAAGTCCATGTGCTTTGCTGTTATTACTATTATTGCCCCTCCTACAAAATAATAATTGGAGATGCATTTCCCGTTGCTTATAAACTTTAAACCCCTTAGCCAGGCATTCAGGGCTCTATAATTGTGGTTTTTTTCCCCTTCCACACCCCACTTTGCATGCAAAGCTAGTCTCCTTCTTGGCACACCCCCTTCTCCCCCAGGTGTTTAAGCTCCATGGTAAGATAATGATAAAAGGGAGGCCCATCCCCCATTCCTGCAGAGACAAGACATTAGTCTTAAAGGAAGCAAGTAATAGTGTTGGGTGAACACCTAAGCTCCAGCACCTGGTGGCTTAAATTTGCATGTTCTGTGGCTGAGCTTCTGCTCTATACAAACTCTCCTTTACAAACCTGCCTGGCTGATTTCCTGGTCTAAACAAATTCTGTCCTACAGGCCATTAATCTCTTCCTGCTATGCTAAAGCTAGGTCATTTTCTCAGCTGTAGTGGGGGACAGAGCCAGGTTCAAGGGCAGGAGGACCCATAGGTGAGACTTCCCTGGGTTTCTGGCTGTAGCTGACAGGGAAAGTGGGCTTCTAGCTGAAACTGGTTTGGCTCAGTGGATAGAGCATCAGCCTGCAGACTGAAGGGTCCCAGGTTCAATTCTGGTCAAGGGCGTGTACCTTGGTTGCAGGAATATCCCCAATAGGGGGTGTGCAGGAGGCAGCTGATCAATGTTTCTCTCATTGATGTTTCTAACTCTCTATCTCTCTCCCTTACGCTCTGTAAAAAAATCAATAAAATATATTTTAAAATGTTAAAAAAAGAAAAGAAAAAAAAAGATGAGCTTCTAGAAGCTTTGACCCAGCTAACTAGTAAAGGCCTCTGCATCAGAATCACAACCCACCCTCTGCAGCCCTGCCCAGAGCCAGGAGGACAAACTCAGGTCCA